AAGTGTCTGTGGGACAGTATAAGTTTAATCAATGGTTTCCATGACTGATCTCATGAGGTAGCTAAACTTTATCTTGCAGCTACAGAGGTGCACGCATATACATGTATACCAATGGAAATGGAATTTATCTTCAAATATTTATATGAAAAGGTATTCCCATACTTAATATTGTCTTGAATTTGATTTGCACTGCGACTATTCCGGGGCACTAAATCCCTTGTAAAACCGTGTAGTAATGTTGGTGAGCACTGAATCGAACTTCGTAGGACGAATCGTCACGAATAATCCACACAAAGGAAAAAGAAAATTTATACTAACCTTGGCAGAGAAAAACAGTGTCATTTTTCCGAGGCTTAATTATGAGAATGTCACATATCGATTTAGGACTACTTTTATTCAATTTAGCGTGATAAATTAAAATTGAAATTAAAAGTTATAAATATAAAATGTGACAAACCAAGCACAACCTGGGACAAATCCCGCATTGATCATTACTGAATTACTTTGATTCTGAATGTAGAAACCAAACACAACAACAACTACAACAACAAACGATCAAACAAAAGGAGTTTTATAGAAGATTGAGACTTCAATACATGCAATAATCAGTAAACTTTCATGTAACAAAATCTAAAATTTATCGAAATGGACCAATACTTTTGTGTTTAATAACATTTAAAGGATCTTTGACTGTAATCATGGGTACAGTAGAAACCATGCAAAACAGAGCTTATGTCCTATACCGGTCTAGGTTCAACGATAAAGACCATGTCTCCGTAAAGACCAAAAAAAGACGCCGCACACCCTCCTTCGATAAGAACCTTTCCTATTAAAAATTCCATTGTTCTGGTTGAGATAAACCAAAATTTTGAGAAAATACTAAGAACATATCCAGGGTGAGAATCAGTTTAGAACATCTTTATTTTTCTCCTTTTTGTGAAGTTTAAGCAAAGGTAAAAGAAATGTAAAACTGTGGTCTAACAGGACATTTAACTCAAATACTTAGCGGCCTTTTTTCAACAATAATGTTTTCCTATTGCACGATACACTGAAAACAACTAACTGGTTTGAAGTCGAACTTAGTCTGGTCACGTGAATAAAGGGTACGTTTCTAGAGAATGAAACTGTGGTGCTGCGTCGGTGCGAGAGTGTAACAGGGTAATTTGGTATAATCAACTGAGTTGATAACGTAAATTGGCCTCCGGAAAGAGTTTAAAGGCTAACGTTTCGAGCGTTAGCCCTTCGTCAGAGCAAATGATAACGGGCTAACGCTCGAAATGTCAGCTTTGAAACTCTTTACAATCGCCAATTTACGTTATCAACTCAGTTAATAGCTAGTGACAAATTACCCTCTTAGGTCTGGTCACGTCCGACTTGATTTATTAGGAACGTTTTAAGGCTTCAGTCGCAAAGAAAAAAACATGAGAGCGTTCAGCCTCAGCTCCAAAATTAGACGTTCTTATAAAAAAAAAAAATTAAAAAAAAAATATATATACATATATATATATATAAGGGGTGTATATATATAGGGTTGTCTATATATATATATACATATAAGGGGTGTATATACATCTTATAGTGTGAAACCGCCGTTCGTCAAAACTGTTTGGTTGCCAGAATCGGGAGAGCCAACGCAAGATAAAAAAACGACCTTATTCATGACGTAAAAATTTCTTTTCTGTACAAAGAAACTGACGAGAACAAGATATTAAAAAGAAAGTTAGCAAGAAAGGCACGACCCGGGAACATAGCGCGGTAAAAACAAGCTTTGAGTTGTCTATTCACTGAGCTAGCAGACTTCGGATGCTTCCATCTGATTTTGGTTTGGACGGTGCCGTTCAATTTTTAATTGGCAAATTTTGTTTGATTGCGGAAAATTCTGTCCTTGATTCTGAACGATTATCATCTGTCAGTTCTCATCATGGACGGTTTTCCATTTCGAACGCGTCCGTCAGGTTTCGAAGAAATTTTTCGCTTATTTCGGAGGGGTCAGCTTGAAGTTTGAGTGAAACTAACCATAGCCCAAGAGAAGTAAAAAGAGTTGCTTTTACTCCCTGAATCTTTTCTCGTTTTCTATAAACCGGACTCTTTATTTTTATTAATGAAGACCAAAAAATTGGTGTGGCCAGTAGCCATGGAGTGTAATTGGTGCTTCATCGGAACATGATCCAAATACTGTGATCATAAGTCTTGGTAAAAATTGGATGTAACCAAACATTGACGTTCTGATTCTGCGAACAGAGACCTTTAACTAGCTAAATAGATTTTTAACATAAAACCGTCGAATTGCAGACCGCAATCGCACCATTTTTGCCAATCCAACACATTCTCTTGCATGCCACTATTCGAGAGAACACATAACATGACGTAAGCGTATTCTGGAGCTCTCGCAAAAGGATAATATTATTCAAGCAAAAAAAACACGCAAGGGTTGCTATTTCATTTCTTTCCTACTGAAATAAAACCGACGAAAAGGTGAGACAAGCATTTACGTGTTTAAGGGTACTGACGACTAAGAAATTTAACCATTTTGAGATGCACCTCTTTCTAATCAGGAGGCGTCCGAAGTTTCCGAGAAATTTCCTACGTACTAAGTACCTCATGATTGTCCAACCGGCAACCTCGCCCAGTAATTAACATCGGTATTTAGCCGGCAGGGTTTCGGTGGTGTTCGGTGGTGTTCTTCGCCTGAACCCTTTCACGCGCTTTGTTCATATTTATTCAAGCTTTTCGAGATAACTATAGATTTCATCAGAACTCAGCCGATATTAAAAATCGTTATATCTGTTATGAAAAGTTAGACTATTTGACCTCCGGGCACTGGATTTGATTCAATTACCTGTCAGATTTGACAGTAAATGATGGTTTCTCGATTCATTTTTGAATAACATTCAACAAGACCACTTTAAATCACCCTAGATGAAACATATCAAATTAGTTTTCGCTCTATCCATAAATGTCCTTTATTATAACATTTTAAAGTCTCATCAATTGATAACTCGCTGTTTGTGTAAGTGTTAGTGGGCTTCAAATAAAATAATTCCTTAACTTATACTTATAGGTCTAAAAGGGTAATGATAAAAAAACCATGAGACATTGTAATGAGTAATTTGTGATATGGAAATTGTATGTTGCGGGCATGACTGTCATGTATAACACTTGAATATTATATCAGTATTCGTACGTTCCACAAAGACACACGTTCTATCCTTTGACTCTAAATTTGAGGCATTTTAGCCACTTTAAGGTATAGTTTTTCATTTATCACCGAGAAGGTGACTGATGTTTACCCGTCATTGAATCAAGGCCCATCAAATGAAACTCGCTTCCTTGTACTTTGCTTTTGATCGTGCATGTATGAGTTTTCTTTCTCCCTCGTTACCAGAAATCGGACACTGAAGTGAAATTGGGGGAAGAACACAACTTGTCGATCGCGGCGAGCTTGTCCGTGAGCTTGTCGAGCTGTACTGTTCTGAAATGGCTCTTTTGAACTTCCTAACCACGCTGGGGCTACTAAGAAACTCATCACAGTTATGGACTCCAGGGCCTCTTTGACTCATGGAGGCCCCAGACGATGGGCACACAGAATCTTGAGAGGACCATAATGGCGAGCTGTCCAAGAAAATACCTTGTTTTCTCCGATGTTTGATATAACATGGTGTATCACTTTGTACTTCCCATTTATCAGACTCGTCTTCAGTAATCCTTTTGACCCTTTCACCAACTCCTTGAAATCTCGAGAGTCGACGTTGTAAAAGTCGCTCCCTCTCACGGCAAAAGGCCCTCTCTTCTTTTGATTTAGCTTTGTCTAGCAGCCACGTCTGCTTCTTAAACAATTCTTTCTCACTAGCGTTTCTTTTAAGTAGGTATTTGGCACCGTTTTTGGACAAAATCACCTCGGGTAAGGCATTAAATGTGGACATCTTTATATCCCTAAAAAAATCAACCTCCCAAGCCTCACGCGTGAGGCAGATGAAATCTAATTTGCCGCAGACTGAGAACAAATTGAACGAAGAATGTTTATATCGTTAACATGTCTACGTGCCTCTTCCGCCGCATTCCATAATTGACCGCAAGAGAAAATTTTAACAAAGAAAGTTATTTGTTCAACATATTATGCATGGGTAGGGGTGCCCTCTTTTGTGACGTCAATGAACTCGGGCCCCCGTAATAATGTATTGTTTGTACGTGGGAAAGCAATTCCCGCCGTCAAAAGGAATTTGTAAAAGATCATTTGATAAAAAATATGTTTCTAAAATATCCGTTAGCTATTGCCAAACGTCATTTTCCTTTACTTATCCTGTTTCTTACCGTGTCAGGGACTATTGGTATGATTAATAGCATTCATTTTGAATCTCGTTAAAGAATCTTTCCCCGTTAACTCTTTGATCTTTAAATTTCTCAGAAAAGCTGGCTGCTTAGCAATTTATAATCGTATTTTGTTTACGCCGAAATAAAAAAAAAACGAGAAACATGACCTCAATTCAGCCTCGATTGATTTTTAAAAAAAATCTCACGTTAACTCTGTCTAAAGCTAAACCAATGTGAAGGAACACAAGTTTTTTACTAACGAAATAGTCACTGAATGTGTCTATCATATCCACCTATCTGATAATCAATTGAAAAAGTAGTTGTTCCTCTCTATGAAAACCTTTTGCAATAAACGAAGTTAACAGATACGAATTGACGTTTTCTCCATTGAGCCTGTACCATGAATGGGTGAATGCGCGCATGTCTTCAGCTACCTGATAACCAAGGCAAGCTAGTCGCGATGACTCTTCCTCGACCGGCTTTTCATGATTTCCTTTAGGGGTTTTGCTTCCTCGAAGTCATAAAAAAGGTGCACGAATAATAACTGCCAAATTGACCAAAAGCTTAATCCTTTGTTAGTTAACTGATTTCCAAGAAAAGCCATTAAATTTTTAAGTAGAGATCAAGAGAATATTAACTCATAAAGATCTAGTCTTCTCATCACGAAGACAAAACTCATTTCAAAAGAGTATGTCTAAATTTTTTAAATTGTTATTACTCAATTTATTTCTCACTAAAGTAAAGTGAGGTTGTATATCTCCATGTTTTTATTCTTCCCATGGCGTGATGGGTTTACTTCGGTTTGGAATGATTTAACTGAAAAAAAGATGGCGGAGCGTAGCAAGTATAATTTTGCACACGTGTTAAATGGAGTCGTGTTTTATAAAGTGCCATTTGCGCAAAAGGCAGTGCTTCACTCCCTTTATAGACTGGCAAAAAATATTTTTAAAAAATCAAGCTTTCGGTATATTTCATCGCTTTGGAATATTCGGGACAACCAATACCTCCATACTACGTTTTCCTCGTACTGTTTCAATAGAGCCAGTTGGTTATCCCGGCTCTACCTCAACCAAATCAGTTCTGTACGAATTTTCCAAGGTATTTAACGACAACCAAACTCTCATGGCAAAAAACAAACACCTTGGAAAAAAAACATACATGGAAAGAAAAGACGAAGGAAAAATGGAAATCTCCAAGTAACATAAAAAATTTAATTTTTGACTGCAATAAATGTACTGATAGTTACATGTACATTTACGACAATATGGGGCTTTCCTAAAAGTTCACTAGCATTGTAACACCTGGGGACAGACATGCTTAGGAAGTCTGTTTCTGTAGGTCAATAAATGTTCCAAACAAGTTGTATTGTACAGAATTCCAAGGCAAATGGGTACTCTGTGGCCAAAACTCCTGTGAAGTTTACTTGGTACCCTGTGGTGGTGTCAGCAGACCACCAACCTTGCTTGCAGCTCTAGATGGAGCAAAGCCCAGCATTTTTTGAATATTCTGAGAAGAGAAAATCAATGATCTTAATTAGGTTCAGCAAAGGTAACATCAAGTTACTGAGAGAATGCAAGTAGAGGGGCCATCTATACACATAAAAATAAGTTTTTGACAATTAATCAGTAAAATTATGCAGAAGGATAATTGAATAATCAATTGATGATTAACTGGTTGTTTGATTGTTTAATTAATCAACTGTCTGCCTGACTGATTGATCAACTGATCAATAGGTTCTGTGATTGATAAGTTGCTCACAACCAAAGGGCCTTAACATTAGAAAGTACAGTGTTGTCTATACTGTATCTATGAATGTTGCTAAATACCTAGCTAGGAAAAAAAACTTGCACAAACCTGTCTTACAGACATAGTACAAAGAATATACAGGAAGATAAAGGAGCAGTCAGTAAAATCTGTGCCCATTAAGTTGCGATGGGACAAGCCTTGAAGCCAAGAGTGGGGAACAAAAGGAAGCTTTGCAACAACTCTGCCATCAAATCTGAAAAATAGGACAACACAATGTGACAAATATAGAGCAGCCCTCTCTAACTTGAATTTAAGGTAATAAATGTAAATAATCTGTATATGGAAATGTCATTGCTAAAAATTAATCCACAAATTTTATATTCTGTACAGTTGCAGTTGTAAAAACCATCACTGAATGTTTTAGGGTCACACACTTACATAGAATTAAACATGCCAATAAGAGCTGTAAATGTAAATCCAATGGCAAAGATGGACTTCATTTTCACCTTCAAAAGAATTACAAATATATATCACCATTTAACACACAAGACGTCAAGTCAAATCAAACTACAGGAAAGCTATGCAAGAGGAGGGGGTATTCATCGCACAGAGGAATTTCATGAGAGATACTGTAGATATACAGTAACAATGTTCTTGAAGCTTGGATTGCATAAATTTAAAGAATCCAGGCAAACAAAGTAAAGGAATTTTAGGTTAATTTTTTGCAAATGTTTGAAACTCAGTTGTAACCAATGATTCTTGTTAATCATTTCCACGGAATCATATGCCAAACAGCCATTATTGATCAGAACTAAGTCAACCTAAACAAGATACGGTAAAATCATATAATTCTTGCACACAAAAGTGAATATATTGATTATACATGAAATAAAGAAGTCTCTCACCATTGAAAGGTCTCTGTTGTGATTCTTAAGCTTCTCCTCAACTCTTTCTAAGAAAAGACACAAACCCAAACAATTGTAAAACACACTTCACTAGGATTTCATGTAAAGCAGTTGTAGTAATATCATCCAGTAACTACATCAAAAAGAAAAAACTAATTATCATTCTTGGTATGCTTACCCATTTTCTTCTTCTGACCTCCCCCTTGTCTGGGAAGATCTAAGATATTTTCTTTTCTCTTCTCCACTAAGAAACAGAAGTAAATAACATCAATACAAAGCTTCTAGGTATTTTAATAAAATTCAGTCAATGTTCTCTAGAGTTGACACAGTACAACAATTTGACTGAAATAAAAGCATGAAATATATGTCTATGATCATTATGGAAAGATTGTAATATTACAGCTTTGATCAAAGAGAGCTGATTCACTTGATGACTTATAACTTTTATGTAAAATATGTAAACATTCTTCTCGTTATATAACTGCAGTGCATTGGTTTACCAAGCATTACATAGCATTACCACAGTCAGGACACTTCTTTTTACTTGATCATATTGTAAATCTCTCCTAAGTAAAAGTAAAATATCTAATTACAAGCATTGTATGGTAGTCCATGATTCTTGATCACTGGATAAAAGGTAGTTGAATACTCTACAATAACAAAGATACTCACACTTTTTACTATCTTTTTCGACTTCTGCAGTTAACTTCTTATATTTGTCTGTTCTGTAAACCAATAGATATGTGATTCCTATAAAAGAGAAAATAAAAGTAAGGTTGCTACAATCTCTTTTTTTGCTCCCTTGATAATTATTATTAAATATACAAAACAGATTTATGGCCAAATACAATAAAATATTTCCTACGATAGTGATACCATAACCCTACTGCACAAGAAACTAAATATAAAGGAAATGTATTCTTATGAAGTCCTGCATATCTTTGGTCAGCATATGAGGTATCACCTCCAATGAACATGTGCCATAAAACGTGATTTAATTTTGAACCCCATAAACATTGGTAACTCTTTGTCTAATTTTTATACCCCATATGTGGCATATTTATTGAATTGAAAAAAAAGAGAGAAATTTACACTTGGACTAATAATTAGGACTAATAATTAGTGTTATTGTGGTGACTGAAGCATTACGATGAGCTTGTTAATAGGTTTGTGACAGTACAGAAATATGAAAGGTGATTTAGGGTTGTTGATTATGGTCTGAAGTTGCTAGTTAAGTTAGAAGAACAAATATTGTACATGGAAACAGTGTGATTGTTTGTTGCAAGATCCTTTACAACATAATGATAAATTAAGCCACAAAATGTATATTACAAATGCAGAACTGGGACGTTTTAATTCTATGGTAAGAAAGGATTTCTTCTCCTTTTTTTCACTCAGTCTGGCAATTTTTTCCCACATTTTTTTTAACACCAAGGCTTGAAACAGTATGAAATTGATAGCAGACAATTTATTGATGTTACAAGCAGGAGTTACCCCTTTAACTCCCAGAAGTAATCAACATGAAACTTCTCACTATAATATCCTCACAATATCCAGCAAACAGGTAATGAGAATATTCAAACTTATCAGGTAGAAGTTGTTATCTTGATTTAACACCTTATTCTCATCACTACTTTACAAGGAAATGTGTAGCAGCTTGAGGGGAGAATTATTAATTTGATCTTGGGAGTTAGTGGGTTAATAAAAATTGGCTAAACTTCAGAATACCCCGCAACTTTGGTCCGCCTCACTTACATGTGTCGGGAGGCTTTGAAGATCGAGGCATAACACAATAGACGCCTAACCAATAGTTGCCTAACCAACCATACAATTGGGTGGGATAATTCTAAAATTATCACCA